GGTGGGTGCAGCGGCTGGGGGTGCAGGTGGCGGGCACATCAGTGGTGCTGGGACTGCAGATGTTGATGCAGATGTTTGGTGGTGTTCATGGCTTGGGCACCAATGTTTGGGGTGCTGAGGACGTGGGTGGAAGTGCTGGGGTGCCGATGCCAACGTTTGGGGTGCTGAGGATGTGGGTGCAAGTGCTGGGGTGCCAATGCCAATGTTTGGGGTGCTGAGGACGTGGGTGCAAGTGCTGAGGTGCCAATGCCAACATTTGGGGTGCTGAGGATGTGGGTGCTGAGGACGTGGGTGCAAGTGCTGGGTGCTGATGCCGATGCCCCAGGTGCTGATCCCAGGGGTGCGGGCACAGTGGGTGATGTGTGCACCAGTCATGCAGGTGCTGACGCTGGGGACCACGATGCCCCAAGCCCAAATTCTCCCCACGTGCTCATCCCCACTGCCATCTGGGTGCTCCCTGCCCCAGTGTGGGTGCCGTGGGTGCCCTCCTCCATTTGCCCCCCATCACTCTCAGCTCTTGCCCCATGGGAGAGGGCGTCTCAGGGCAGCGCCTGCCAGGTGCCAGGGCAGGGCAGGATCTGGCTCCTTGGCCCCCTCCACCCACCTGGCAGCCCGGGTACCACAGCTGGGACATCCCAGGAATGTCCCCAGCGTCCCTGCCCCATGGCTCGCTGCACCCATCGCCTACCACAGCAGCCCGGGTACCACAGCTGGGACATCCCAGGAATGTCCCCAGCGTCCCTGCCCCATGGCTCGCTGCACCCATCGCCCACCACAGCACCCGAGTGACCCATCCGTGTCCTCCCCCAGGCACGCAAGGAGCCGGAGGAGCCACCTGCCCCCATCTACCTCAACATCCAGGAGCTGCAGGAAGAAGCCGCAGCCGCCAGCTCGATCCCGGAGGAGCCCAGCAGCTCCGTGTCAGACTGGGAAACCCACACAGATACAGACAGTGGACATTTGTTTTATTATAACCCGGTGACGGGCGAGACCACGTGGGATTGTCCTTTTGGGCAGGCAGAAGATGGAGTGAGTCCGGTCGCCTCTCCCGCCTCCTCGCTCGCCCAGAGCCCGGACTCTCCCGAGTGGGAACAGTACATGGACGAAGCCAGCGGACAGGCTTTTTTCTATAATTCGGTAACAGGTGAGACGTCGTGGGACCCCCCCCAGGCGGGAGACGGAGGCAGCTCCCAGGATATGTACCCTGGGGTGACGCGGTACCATCCCATGGAGCAGAGGGTGAGCACCCAGTGAGGCGTGGGGGGGATGGGGATGGGGATGGAGGTGGAGATGGAGGTGACAATCATAGAATCACAGAATCGTTTGGGTTGGGAAAGCCCTTTAAGATCATCAAGCCCAACCATTCCCCTAACTACCACTAAACCCTGGCCCTAAGCACCTCATCTGCCCGGCTTTTAAA